GCCCGCTTTTATTCATTCAGCAGACATTTCTATCCAAAGCAACTTACAAATGAGGTACAATTAATTTTTAAATGGTTTAGTGTGCAGTGACAAGTTTAAAGTATGAGCTGGACTAGTACACAAGCAAGAGCAGAAGTGAAATGCAGAACATGACTTTGTTTTGTGCCTGCTGGAATGCATGTCTTTCTTTACATGCACAAGCTGCATGTGATCACAGTCTCTCCACAACGAGCGTCTGGGTCTGTTTCTCTTTAGTTGTCGCGAACGGTAGCCCACAGCCTTGCAGGCAAACACATGTACATGAACAATCTCTAAAAAACTCCTTCTCATCTTCTCCCTCTGTAGATGACGACTATCTGGGATTGGGTGAACTCCCGGAAACATTCCCCTCGGATCCGCCCGAGCCGCTCCCGCACTTCCTGATGGAGCCAGAGGAGGCGTATATCGTCAAGAACAAGCCCGTTAACCTGTACTGCAAAGCCACACCAGCCACGCAGATCTACTTCAAGTGCAACAGCGAGTGGGTCCATCAGAAGGAGCACACAGTGGAGGAGCGCGTGGACGAGAGCTCGGGTTAGTACCGCCGAGAGTGTTTGGATATTATATATATATATTTATACATTTCCTGTAACACAGCGCTCCTCAATAGGTGGCCCGCGGGCCACATCCGGCCTGTGAGAGAAAAAAGTTTGGCCTGCGCTAATTTCAAATAATGTGGCATGAAAATTCAAACACAGCATCAGAAAGCTACATGAACTTACATCATGTCGCAATAAAATACAAGAACTCGTTATAATCAGTGATGCTGTCTTGGATGTGGTGCGAGACGACAAATCCCCGACAGCAAACTGCTGACTCGTTCTATTTATAACGTACTGACACAACATTCAAATGATTTGCAATGCTTTGTCGCGTCCAGTGTAGATACAATGTGACAGCAAAAACATGCCGAGTGTGTAGAAAAGAAATGTGGACACAGAAAATAGACGATTCAAATGTGAATGGACTGAACAGTTTTGAGTAAATGAGTGAGTGAGTGACATCTTTGTTATGGAATACACGTGTTGGTTCGCAGTGAGTTCACAGTTTTAACGCACAAGTTTGCTTTAATTTATTTTCAAGATCTGAGGTCAAATATCTATTGTTGCTTTCACTATGGATATAAAGATAACGCAAAATAATATTCAAACTCACATTAGACACTTTTAACATTGAATAAAGCACATAATCATTACCTGAGATTATCACTGTCATATTTTGTATGTTGTTCCTGCCGCGATGTCGCAGAAAATTAAAACCGTTCCTAAAATAGAATCCCATGTCGCTTATTGTCGCTGTCGCGGGTGGTTAGGACAAAAACTACAAGGAAAAGATACTTTTTATTGCGTCGTGTCTGGTTGGGACACACGGCGTTACAGTTTGATCCCCCCCCCCAAAAAAAATCTAAGCATAAAAATATTAATACTGACAAATCTAATAATTTAATCTGCATCCAGTCTGGGAATGAGCAGCAACAGTTGATTTGCACGGCAGACATGGAGATCCAGATTTTTTGTTTGTTCATTTATTTTTAATATTCAACAGGCAAAGTTCTTCTGTATCTAAA